TGCAGCTATGCCAACTACAAGTTCTCCTTGAGTTATTTTTCTTTTTCTGTTCTATCCTTCTTATCTATTCGCTTCTTTTTATACCATCGTTTGTTCGAATGTCTATTACATTCCTGATGATGCCAACTGAAAGCTGGCGAAAGCTCGAATAAAGTATTTTCAAGATTGAAAGTCATGTTATTCATAGCAGTTCTATATTCGATTTACAAATACTTATTTCCAATTGCTCTACCAACAAATTTCATAAAATATGTTCTTTCGAAAGCGTCATTTAATAGATAAATAATTGTGTAATGCAAAAACAAATGTGTATGTAGTAGTATTAGCCGTGTGAATGTCATCATGATACACTGTTATACAATACAGCTGAAAGCCCGAATAATAAATAGAGAGATATACGATATGATAGAGGAAGAAATTAAGGAACAATTGTACTGACCGAATTGAAGCATTACACTTACGAATTCACGAACTCTCCTCAAATCCTTTCAGTCCTGACTACACACTTCTTATTGTTGCGATTCTGGAAATTTTGGATGAGACAGTGACATATCGACTGCGACGAATGAATAGTCGGTGACGCGCTTGCTTCTACCTGATTGATCTATTACCGTTTACAGAACAACGAGTAGAAAAATGGAGCAATTGACGGAGCGCTGAAAGAAACAGCCGCTTCAGCTCCGCTACAGAAGTAAAAACATGTGTTCAGTGTTTCTTCTGAATTTCGATGGGACTGTTCGAATCCAAAAATGGAAATTCATGAATAAATACGATATTTAATAAAAAGAGAAATTTTAATGCTTTATCAAAATCTTGTTTGCTAAAATCAATATATAACTTACCAGCTGCAATAAAATCCAAGCCAGTCATCCCAATCAACTTTTTTCATTTTCAATGGTATTATTGTTTTTCTTCTGTCCCAGGCATAAACAGCTTCATTCTTACATGGAACACTTTGTTTATATGTTTCAGACATAGATATTAAAATAAATTTTGATTTTTCGACTGCTTGTGCCATTGCTTCACACATTGTTCCAGACATTTGCTCTACATCCAACCAAACGCGATAATTATATTGTTCAGTTAAACATTTAAAAATAAGTAACACTAATGACTTGGAGGTGATTCCATTAGAATGTCCCAGCGATCAAGTTCACTAGTCTTTCTGCTATCTCCAAAATTTTGTATATGAACTCAGTTGTTGAATGTTCACATGTCATCCCAATTATAACTAATTATTAAATCAAATTCTTCTTTCTGTGGTCGTTGTTGCTGTTTTTTAAATTCATTTTCTCTTTCTAATTTCCATAAAACACCATCAGCTGCTTTTTTCAAACCTGGCGGAGTTTCACTTTGCGGTTCTAGAAGTGTTTTAATATGTCTCATAAATTTTTCATTATTTTTCAACAGTTGAGCTGCTTCTGAATTAAATGACATTGACCAAAAACATTCTAATGCGAATTGTTGTCTTTCGTGTGTAATTTTCTTTTCACCTGCCATGAATTTTTTAAATTCATCCTCATCTTCTTCGTTTTCCCCGTCTTCAAGATAAAGCTCTCTGTGTTTACCAGCAAATTTCATTAATAATTCCAAACCATTTTGTTTAATAAATTCATCTTTTATTGGTTCATGTTGAAGAAAGGCTATTTGAAACATAAACAGAGTCAAATTCTTTAACTTCATTTTCCCAACGTCCAAAACACTAATAGATAGACTATTCACGGAAATGAGTAGCTCATGGCTGAAAACGTGCTGGTATCGATTTTATGTGAACAACGCACAACAGAAAACCTTGCCGCATACACTTATTATTTATCTCTAAACCTTTAGGATTGTACTCAGATGCTACATGTTATTTTTGTATTTTCTACATAAAAGTGCATTTCAGTTCCTCAGAATCTAATCTCATTACCATACTAGTTTTTGGCGGTGACTTGATTTTTTCTAATAAGAGAATGCAATATGTTAAGTCTTATTTGATATGTTATCTGTCTCTCTGTTATCCATCCGATTGTTTGATTCATCCTCGTTCTACTAGACATATTCCTGTTGCAAAAGAAAACATTAAAACATACTCTTTAAAGTTTTTAATAAATCTGTTAGTTCGCCGCCATCGCTTATACCAAAAGAATTTTGATCAGCTTGTTTCAAATAATTAACGAATATTGATACTATTTCTTGTGCATTATCAAATTTTTCAATATCAGCATCATTCATAATCAATCCCAAGATATTATAACAGATCATACATAACGTGTGTCCGTTAGAAATCTGCGACATCCAAGATTTTGAATGCAATTTCGAAAGTACAACGTGATCTTGTTCGTTTTATTTGTCGCTACTGTGTCAACTGTTTAGCTCAAATGGAAAATTTTCTACGTTCCCTAAACTCCCCCACCTCCTTTTCTCATCCATGGGCATCTTTTATGTGTAATTACTAGGCATGAGCTAGTATATCATCATTTTTAGCATTATTTGTTAATTTTAACAAAATTTCTTTAGCTTGTTGATTTTGTTTTACATTTGAAAATATTTCATCGTTCTCATTCATTAATAATAAGATATATTTCATTATTAAACACATAACAAGTGTTGGTGCTGCTGTTATTGTATTTTCAAGACTGTTCAGATATTCTAAATCATGGGATTTCGTGTCGTTATTCATTTTAGTTTGTTCAATAAATTGTTCATTATTCAAAATGACAAATAGATCATTAATTATTTTTAAATATTCATTTCTAAAAAGTATATTTCCTGTTGTACCTCTCATTAGAAATGAGAGTATATTATCCATAGATCGTTGCATTAACCATGAATTAACAATCAAATACTTTAATGTATGTAATTGTAGTGACATTGTTATTGCTAATTCATGTAAGATAGATTCATACTTTGGTAACCATTTATCACAAAATTTATTTTGATACTCATCGCTATAATACTTACTATGCATGATAGAATTAAAACAGACAAATAATAATATCTCATCACGTTCAGTTAATGTTGATGGTGATATTTGAAAGTGTTTGAATGAATTCATATACGAATCACTATTAACACAGTCAACAAGTGTTTTGAATAATAATTTTAATTTTTTTTATCAGTTTCATCGTCTGCAGGAATAAACATTTGACATAATGTTAATACCTGAATATGATTTTTTAATATTCTTTCATTACTATCGTTAGTTATCATCGTATTATGATCTGTGCTGATTATTTTTTTCAAACCTTGTTGAATAGAATCAAGTAATGTTTCATCAAGTGATAAAATTCTCATAAGATTAGCAACACCATCATTTGTTTCCAAATCTTCTTTTGTCATCGGTAGTTCTAATAATTTTTTTCATTATTATCCTTTCTTGACCAGTTGCTGCTGTTGCTTTTGATTTTCGTATGATATCAATCAAAAGATAATACATTAATTTAAAGATTTTTTGTGATGATAATGGTAGACTGTGGAGTATTATTTTAAGTGGAATTTTTAATATTGCATCTATGATTTCGATAGCCGTATCCTTGGTAAAAACTTGAAGGAGTTGGTCAAATAGAACTTCGATTTCTTCAATTGTAGAATTTTGATTGTTAATTATTTGTAATTGTTCATCAGTAATGATAGACGACGGCATATTTTATGTTTCTAAAACAATACAAAAGGTTTCGTCAACTGCCTATGCTTATTTACTGATTTTGCAGAAAAAAATGTGAACAATTTTCTCCAAAAAAGAGCGAAAAAACCGTTCCTTTCTCGAGACAATGATGTGAAAATAACGAAAAAAGTTTTCTGGTCTTCGCATTCTCTCGATTTTTTCTGTATTAGTAGAAAAATTACTTATATATATATATATATATTAGAACGTGTCATTGTGTATACAAACATGGGTAAATTGTAGCTTTTTAGTACGTACTTGCCGTTAAACAAACTCTCAAAGGCGCTAAACTACTTCAAACAGTTATAATTTATCCGTCTTCAGCCAACATAATTCAAGTTCATGTACATCATACACAACTGATTGTGTATGTTTTATCTTCTATCGTATTTCTACTAAAATAAAGCTTAATTCTTCATATTTCTGTTTCTTTTTGTTCTTCTTGTTCATCTGTTATTTTGCTTCTTTTTGTTTCAAATTTAATCCTCTGTTTTTATCGTTTTACAATTTATAGCTAACTATTTGCTACTAGACATGTTACAAGCCAAGCCTCGGCTCAAAAGCTTGACCTGAGCCGGCTCAAGGTTGAGTTGGCTCAATATCATTTTTTTTCTTGTATTTTAAATTGTTGAATTCAGCTTTTTCTGTGGAATCAATCGCTTCTCATTAATTAAAAAGCACTAATTAAGGTAAAACTTGATTTTACACAAAAAAGTCTCAGGACAGAACACTCTACAATTTTCCCTTCCTAGGAGAAAATCGACATAGCAAACGAATAGTTTTTCAATACAAATTCTTTTTAGGAAACCAGCATTTTCTTGAGTTAAATCAAGAAGACAAAATGTTTAAAATTGGATTTTACAACTTTTATTTTCTTTGCTCAAATTTCTAGAGGGAGATCTTCAGGGCAAAAAACTCAAAAAACACTTTTTCTGCACTAATTAACCTTCATTAGCACTTTTTAATTAATGAGAAGCGATTGATTCCACAGAAAAGCTGAATTCAACAGTTTAAAACACAATAAAAAAAATGATATTGAGCCGGCTCAAGCCAAGCTTTTGAGCTGAGGCTTGGCTCGTAACATGCCTAATTGCTACACCATGACAATGTTGAACTAGCGGTAGTAAGGCTTTTCATTGTTTCTGATATAAATATAGTAAATAACTTCACTACCATCTATAAGTAGAATTTATAACATTTCTTCATATTGTTCTAACGCGTTGGTGCATAGATAAAATAAGATTTTATTCAACGGCCATGTTTTTTTAAAAATCGGTGAAACGTAAATTAATGTGAAACACATCAATTTATTTTTTTCTGTTCTCCTGCTTACTTGTGTGAGAACCTTGGTTTTATTTTGAAGAGACTAGAAGGGACTATGAAACATACATACACCGTGTAATAATATAACATATTTATCCGAATGAAAAAGTTAGTCTAGCGTAACAGAACAGTCATCACTATGTCGTTTCTTTATATTCGATATGCTCAAGTCCTATACTAATTGTCATTTTATGCTTACCACGATTATAATTGATAACTCGCCTTGGTCACGTAACTCTGCTATCTTAGTGTCATTCTAAGCTTTATTTGTAAAAAAAATCAAAAAAATCTTAGTGTCATTCCGTCGTGATCTTTGGGCATTTTGTTTCGCTTCCAATTTTCGAAAGAAAACATGTTCAGAGCTCTCTCAACTTAAAAGAAATCATCTTCTGCTGTATTTCCAGACTAGCTCACGTTGTACACAATCCACCTCTACTACGTTCATTAATCTGTCAGTAGAGCACCTTCATTAAAAGAAAACTAAACATTATGAAAAGGAAAGCGAGCACTTATTTTTATATATTTTTCCGATAAATTGTATTGCGCATTATCGTCTCCTTATGGTTTACGGCACCTTTCAACTTGTTCGTTTTAACTGTTCTTGGCGTCCCTGATCTATATCTTTCTTCAGTAGTATACCTTTCTATTACTCTGTATATTTTGTTTAGCAACTCTTTTCTTGTTAGTTGAGGTGGATTTCTACATGATTTTAAAAGATTTGCGAAATTTGAACAGGTTTTAAGCTAGGATTTTAATGTTTTCTTTCCATCCAGCAAATAATGATTATTAGAAGAATTATTTATTAGAAATATTCCTGTTCTATATTCTTCAGATAAAGAATGTTTCTCGCAGAAATATCCTAAATCAAAATTGTTTGATCAAAAAACACTTAAATTTAGTACGCGATATCTGGCTATTTTAACAAATATGAAATCGTTTTATCCATACAAATTATGTTTTCCTGTAAATCATAGTTTTCGACTACCTCGCTATAGTTAGAGAAAACAAAAATTTTTTTTCTATTTACTTTTAATGAGAGGATTTGCAAATAACAGAAAAGCGCTTAATCAAAGAGGTTGTAATTTAAAAGTCAGTAGCTATAGGTTATTTGGCATGCCGAATTCAGTGGTAATCAGTTTTCTTTCATTTTGACTTTCATAATAAGGTTCTGGAAAACCTGAATTTTGAGCTTACAGGTCTTGGGATCATTTTTATAAAGAATTCTGCGATAATTCAAAGTTTAATTCAATGCACTCATCGAATAGAGCACATTGCACTCTATCCAAAAACTTATTTTGATAAAAAAGAAAATTTATTTTTAGAGATTTTGAGAGATTTTCTGGAGATCTTTTCTCGTAGCAAGAGCTAGAAAGTTAAAACTTTTTTGTTTTTTGTTTCGAACTTGCTAAACTATGGAGTTCAAATGTGTGGGATTACCAGATTTATATCTCAATAACTTAAGGTTTTCTAGGAGTTTTCTAGAAACCTGTTAAGGGCTTTGCGTCTGTTAAAATAAATATTGAAGTTAAAATTAAACTTTTTTCTTAGCTATATAGTTCGAAGTGTTCTCTACAAATCTGGATATCTTACTGGACATCTTAGAAATCCATGGTTCGTGAGCTGTGGACGTTTTTCCTGAAGCCTTCGCACTCCTCTACTGTTAGGTTTGGGACTGTCAGACATGAATGAAAACATAGGTTATCGACTATGCTGAATCTAATGACAATGTTAGTTTCCAGAACGAAATGCAAGAATCGAGTGAAAACCTATATCAGATGAAATAACCCATTTTTGATTATGAATGAGCTTTACAGTATGCTGGAGACAAAGATGTCATAATACGGATACAGAATGTATTCACATATACAGTCATGTTAACCTCCACAACTGAACAAGCACACATATACTCATATTATATACAACTACATTAGTGCATCTGTTACTTTACTCGATATAGTTTCAGTATCGGTATTCATATATGTATGTATATATATGAATGCTTAGGATTCTGGGATTTTACTCAATACAGAGTCTGTATCCTTATTCATATATGTACATATATTTATTATTACTTGGGATTTTGAGATTTCACTCGACACCGTTATCGGGGAAGGTTCTCTGAGCTTCTGTGTTGCTTGTTATAAACTCCCTCCCATAATAGAAGCCTCCGGGGCTTCTAAACTGTCCAAGTGTTCAAAATTTTTAGGGGGGGCTTGTATTATGAAGGGGTTACTATTACGGCTTTCGTACAAAAATTTTCAGAAAAAAAAAGGAGATTTTGAATTTCGATGCTCTTGCCTTTCTAATCATGGTAATCTCAATTAATC